GTCGTCATGAAGACATCAGGTACGTATTCACAACACCTCACAAGTCCTGATCTCATCCCGAATAGTCACGACCCCTCCTTGAAGTAACGAAGCCGATGTCAATAGCCGGTCGTAAGGATCTGACAGTACGACACGTGGCAACGCCACGTCAGCAGCAATACGTGGCGACTGCCGCGTCAGCAGATCAGAGACAGTCGCCAGCCAGATAGCAAGCCAGCCAGCGGTAACTCACCATGTCAGCAAATGCCGGCCTTCCTCCAGTCTCGCAGCGTCAAACCAAGGCTGCGAGAGTCAGGCGCTGAAAACAGCGTCAACGCAAGACAGCCAGAATTACCAAAGTCAAGGAGCCAATGCTCTTATAGTGTTGACTCGGGGTCTGATCCCCGGTAGTATCCAACCTCAGCCGTCCAGATCTTCCTGCCTGGAGGGTCTGGATAGATCTGACCTTTGATTTTCCGAAGTCTTGGCGTTCGGTCCCACAGCCGTACGCAGTTTACTCAGGCCGGGGCATGTGTTGGTTACACAGCCCGGCGCAGTCTTCCACAGACTGCGTGGCCTGGGGCTAAGGTTTGGGCCCCAGGTCGACTGCTGAACAGGGTTATTACAGTCCGAGCCCGAATGGCAAAAAAAAAAAAAAAAAAAAACAATTCCTCGGATTTCCTCCAAAAAATCTGAAAACAAACTATGTTATGCAGAAACATAAACTGAACAACTTTTGCCTTGGGATGATATCGAAATTCGTTGTCAATTTAAAAATAAAAAATAAAATTAAAGTCACCCCCAATTTTATTTTATTTTTTTCGTGCATTTAATTGCTAAAAATGGAGTTGTCCCGGCCCGGACGTCCAGGACCCCCCTGACTGTCCGCCCAGGACGTCCTGCCATGAGACAACTGGTAACATAGTTCAAAACAACGAATTTCGAATTTTCCGTTACAGATAACAATGCGTGAAATGAGGAAATCAACGCAAATAGATTCAAAAAAAAAATTCGGAATTTTCGGAATAACGGGAAATAGTGAGAAACAATGCCAATCGAAATTTCTGTGGTGCGTGAATCGAAAAAAATCAACGAAAAATGCGCAATATTCTGACTGAGGCAATTATTTCGGATTTTTAGCAACGAAATTTCAAAATTCCAAAAAAAGTTAAAAAAGCAAAAATCGGAAATTTAAAATGCTGCGCTATTTCGGGATTTGCGATTTTCACAAAACGAAATTACGCTGAAGGAAAGAAATCCGAAACCAAGAGAAAATTGCAAGAGAATTACAAATTGCAAGGAAGATGAGCAATAGCAAACTTCAGCAATCAAACAGCATCATACACATGATACCAGATAGTCGTGACCTCGAACCAATAGCAGAATTGCATCACGGGTTTCACCAAATAAGAGCACACCAAAAGCTCATAATTGACGATGCTGGAATAGTCTCATCATCATCAATGAAGAACCAATGTTGATATCCTATCTGGCGCTCGGCGCCCAGACTACAAGTGGCAGATCCTATCTAGCCTAGACTACAACGCCGCTGATGACGTCAACAGCTTCCCAAGCACGAGCAGCCCTCGGCCAATGCCACACACGTCAAGCACCAGGTGTGTCTCTCGTATCACTCACAACCTCGTTCCCCAACTCACAGATGCCACTTGCACCCAAGGACCACCATGAGCCCCATCCAGCATACAGCAGCGCAGCTCGGCTATGGCTGCCTGCTCCTTCAAGCTCGCCCCGTGACCGCGTGAGCCTGGCCAGCGTTAGCACAGCATGCAGCCAGTGCCCGAATGTCCAATGCGTGGGCAGGCCCTTTCCTATATCGAAGTGGCCTGCTGCCGCGTGCTGTGCTGTGGTACTGGGCCCCGGCCCAGAAGCTTCCGGTAGGCCCAGGGAGGCTGAGCCTCAGTCCAAACGAATCAGGCACAGGGCCACCGACAGTTACTTGTGCCCAACTACCCACAGTCTGAGTTGGGTCCATGCTGCATATCTCGCCCAGGGCCTGACTGAGATACATTTGATAAAGGAGGCCAGGGCCCGGGCGCCTTCAACCAACTGGCGCCGCGCAACTGCCTGAGTTTTACCCCAGTTGCGAAGTAGGAAAAAATAGGCCTTTTGTTGTCTGCCGCGCCTGCCTTTACTTAGGGCGGCCGACCTGTTGCAAATAGGGGCCCGGTAGGGTTTATTGAGGCCTTGTGCCTAGCAAAATCGAAAATTTCCGTAAAAAAAAAATATTCCGGATTTTCCAACAACAAAGTTTCCAAAAAAAGAACGAAATCCAACGGAGGGGAGAAAAAATTCGATTTAGGGAAATGAGTCAAATGACAGAATTCCAGAATGCAGGGAAAATTTCGCGCTCACGCCGCCCGGTCAGCGTTAAGCTGCGCTCGCGCCGCGCCCGCCCGGTATGGGTGTCAAACGAACCATAGCTGAATATCGTCCCCCCGCCATAGCCCGGTCAGCGTCACGTCACGCTCGCGCCGCGCCCGCCCGGTATGGGCGTCAACTCAAACCATAGCTGAAAACTTCGTCCTCGCCTGAGTCTGAAGTGCGTCAAACATCACGTGCGCGCGCCTTGGGCGCGCGCGCAACTCAAGGAACACAGAGTAAGAGGAGTGCATAAGCAGCGAGGAGGGCATATGTGCCCGGCTTGGAGGATGCGCATTGGCGCCCAAGGCAATGCGAACGACATCCTTGACACCCTTGAAGATTGAGAGAGAGTTCAGGCGACGCAAAGAATCCAGCAGCTCTATGAAGACGAAGACCAGCTCTTTCAAGTGAGAACAACCGACTAACTCCCGCATCCCGGCCCCCTTTTGTTGAACCCCATCCCACCTCCTCCTCACCCAATTCTCGTCCCCGACCTGACCCCCACAATATCACGCTCCCTCACCAATCATATCATCCCAAATCGACTCCATATCCACCCCCCTCTGACCCTTTCGGCCCAAGCACGTCCTGACTACATCGCCTTCCCAATCCCCTTCCAGCTTCAATCTGATTCCCATCACTCTGTAGAAATCTAACAGACATATCGTCTCGCCCCAATCTTTCCCAACTCATCTCCCCGTCCGCCTCCAACCTCACCTCAACTTCTCCAAATCCGACACCTGACCCGATTCATCTAGTCTCGCGCCCAACCTTCACCTGACATCCATCCTAAGCCCACCTACCTCGACAGTGATACATCATTTATATTCCTCATTCGTCAGTACGCACAATTAGCATCTCCCCCACCGACGAGGCGATAGTTCAAAAAAACTCTTACCGTCCATGACTGTCGGCTTCTCCTCCTTTCAAGCCGCAGTACGGGGCATTCCCGGCGAAACAGCTAACCCAAGACGTGTCACCCAAGCAACAATCTTGACATGCCCCCTTCCATATTGTACTCGTCAGCAACCGTGACACGCCCCCTTCCAACTAGTATTCGTCTTATTTGAAAACCCCGACCCTCTTCGACCCAACCTCGCACTCCATTTCTAATCTTCGCCATCATCCTACCACTCGCCTCAATCAGTAATCCGATCCCCTTTTACCCCCAACCCGGATTTCAACACCGATCCTAATCCGGTTCCCTCCCTCCTTCTCGCCACCCATTCCCAACCCTGATCCCAACAGCGACAGCTACCTCGGTGCTTATCTCTTCCCCCCCCCCCGACCCCAACCTCGACCCCATCTTATCCCATCTCCAACAGCGGTCCGCGGTCACAGCTCATAGCCCTCTTACTCCGACTTTAGCCTCAACCCCTTCCCATCTTCGAAGCGTACTCACTTCACCCCCACCTCTCTCTCTCCTTGATCTCCTTCTTAACACAAACCGATCTCATCCAATCTTTTCTTTACCCCATCCCGACCCCAACCTCAGTCTGATCCAATCCAATCTTGATCACACCCCGATCCCAACCCATCGGTGAAACGCACCCACTTCACTCCCACTCCTCTCTCTCCGCGATCTCACCCCGAACGTCAACCGATCTCACCCCATCCTTTCTCTACCCCATCCAGATCCCAACCTGATCTTACCTCGAATATATCCCAACCCCACCCCGTCCTCAGCCCGATCCGATCTAATCATGATCACACCCCGATCCCAACCCATCTTCGAAGCGCACCCACCTCACCCCCACTTCTCTCTCTCCGCGATCTCATCCCGAACGCAAACTGACCTCACCCCATCCCTTCTCTACCCCACCCCGATCCCAACTCGATCTTATCTCAAATATATCCCAATCCCACTCCGACCTCAACTCGATTCGATCCAACCCCGATCCCTTCCCGATCCTAACTCGAACCCATACTGACCCTGCTCGGTCTCAATATCTGATCCAAACCAGCCTCCACCCCTCCTACTCCCATTTTCCTCCTATCCCGACCCCATTCCGACTCCCACCCCGTCCCCGACGTGCATCTGCCTCCCCACATCGTCCTCTCCTAGATCCCACTCCGAACGCATCCACTCCCCCCCACCGATCCCACCCCATCTCTCACAGTCTTGTTCTCATACCACCCCACTCAGTGGATTCCAACTCCAATCCCAGACTTTACCCCCCGCACGCTCCCGTGCCTAACACCACTCGGATCCAGATCGCCAATTAAGGTTGGTCTCGTTTGTGCTGATCACGGTCAGAAGCCCAATTGTTCACCAGATCTGGGGACTGTCCCCTCCAACCCGTAATAGAGGCTCTTATCACAGTCCAAAGGGAACAGGGAAGAGAGGTGATAGAACACTGACCAGATTTGTCTTCTACCAAAATGGCATCGCCGCTTCTCAACCCGATCACAGCTAGTCAAGGAACGGGAGAAAGCAACAACCGCGTGATTGACAATGAAGCACTTAAGTTCCTAATAGAGAAAACCAAAGTCCAAGGAGAGCAAATCACATAAATTCAAAAGATTGAAGGCAAAGAAGAAGAAGTTATCATTTGGAAGTACCCGGAAGAAAAGGTGTCAGAACTGGATGATTTACACGAGAGGCATGGCGTGGTTTTTAACTTTGCACGGAATGGAGCAAACCTCCAACCACCTGAGCAAACCTCCAACCACCTGAGAAAAGGAAATGGATCATAGAGGTAATCAAGAAGGAATTGAAACTCAAGCAATCCGGTGAGACATTCACACTGCAGATTCTGGCTCGGAACAACATCATGGCACTCTTCATACGAGAGGAACATGCGAAAGCGGCAGCAGAATTACAGTCCAGAAACTGTCATGGTTCGGTCTGCACAATCAGCAAATGGAAAAAATTGTCTTCCCAGAAACAGAGTCAGACATTCGCGGTCTCGTACAAACAGACACTTTTAAAAGAAAATTTCTGGGTGCAATTCGATAATGTGCAACCGGGTCTGCATGGGCTGCTAGTAGACAGATTAGAAAGGCAATATCCGGCAAACAGAATCCTGAAATGGGTGCTCCCCACACCGGACTTTCTGGCCCCGCACTGTGGATCCATGACGGCAGTGATTGAAGTGAAGATAGACAATCCTTCGATCTTCCCACAGACCTGGAAATTCCAGATTGAAAGCAGATCAGTGGAAGTCAAAGTATCCACCAAATCCTCCCCGATCTGCTATCGCTGCAGAGAAAGAGGCCACATGGGATCAGATCCAAACTGCCCCAAGTATCCGAATCAACCGAGAGAACGAAAGCTCCTCCCCAACATGTTGGTGGAGGTGGAGGATGCCCCGGGTATTTGGTTCATTCCGGACAGCAATTACAACGGGTGGGTCTTCGACGACAATCTGGAGGCTCCGGACTGGGTTTGGCATTACGACGACCAAGATCCAGAAGTTAAAAAACCCAATGTATACCCCCCGACTGACAGCAGATGGCAAAAAAGAGCCACAGGGAAGATATCGGGCAACCCGTCGAAAATCACTACTGACCCACTGATCGATTCACGGGTTATCAAGGAAGAAAAGGATAGAGAAGACTTGTTATGGGACTTGGAAGCAGTGAAAGAACAGGCAATACTTCACTTCAACAAAGACTCGACAAAATTCAGAAGCATGCTCTCCAAGATGGAGCAAACATCAGCTCATAACAGAACAGGGCCTCAAAAAGACAACAAAAGGACAATGGAAAAGGGAAAGACACAAGGGATCCAGGAAGGGGGCCCAAAGAGGAGGAAGACAGTGGATGCCCAAGAGGAGGTGGTAACTCTTCCAGCTGACAAAGAAGGAGAGGAGGGGAGAACAGATTCGGGAGGGACTGGGTCTGAGAAAACGAGTGAGAGCGGCAAAGGGGAAGGGGATAACAAAGCATCGGAAAGTGAGGGGGATTCCCACAGATTTCTACAGTGGCTCATGGATTATGTAGAGCAGGTGAAGAGGGAGAGGGAACAGGCCTTTGACATTCGGGCAGCCTGTCTCAAGCATGCAGAAAGATCTCAGAGAAATGGCAAGAAAGGGATGGGCGAAGTTGGGAAATCAACCAATCAGTTTGACGTTCTCAGGAAAGTGAAAGCGGAAGAACTATCGGAATACACAGCATTCAGGTATGCAGAAAAGAAGAGAGCAAGGGAACAGGGAGTGAAAGACAGAGATAGAACAACTCCAGAATCAAAAGATGTTTTCCAAGAACTGCGCCCAAAGAAGTGGAAATCCGGGCAAAATCAGAAGAAGAAGAACCCGGACATGACTCAGCCTGACTTGGAGGAAGAATCAGCGCACACACAGCTGGAAAAGGAAGCGGTTGGGGTGATTGTACAAACAACAAAGCTGAACAAACTGAACGAGGAATACTCAACAGAATTTACAACAATCGCTCACATTGCCAGGGACCAGGCTCCTTTGGTGGTAGAACAGCCTAGTCATCAAGACTGACACTGATGAACATCCGCCCCTTGATTGTTGCAAGATATGTAGAAAAAATTGAGGAGTGGCAGATTGCAACAGATGTGTCATTTCAGATTCCATGCTTTGAGGAAGGGCAAAATGTAGCTACCACACTTCGCGAGAAGATATCCACGGAGTATCCATTGGGGGTCTATGATACCATGCCAAGCAACCCAGATCAGGAGGATGCACTTCCTCAACCAGAACACGAGGGAGCAACTTCACACCACTCAGAGCATGGTAGACATTCACCTCAGGCATTTTCACCCCTGATAGTCAAGCTATCAAACAAAGCAATCCTACTTCAGGGATGAAATGGAGACCATGGAGAACAATCCAAGCTGTACCCTACAGTGTCTTGGCCAGTTCGAGCCTACCGGTTGAATTGGCAGCAGTCTCATTGGGTCAATTGGTAACTTCAGGTATGCTGGAGGGTGAGGGTGACTTAGATGCAAGGGCATACCCGGTGGACTGTGAGAGGTTTTATTGGAGTGAATCCGAGCGAGAGGACCAGGAATGACATTCGGATGATGAGAAGGAAGAAGAGGACCAGGAGGATGCGGTGGACTCAGACAATGAAGACAATGAAGAGCTGTTTGTGATCCCCAGACAGGAGATGGATAAGATGATTAGTGCAGGACAGCCTACGACAGATCCCCAATGGGGGGAGGGACCTTTGGACATGGACACAGGGGGGGATGCACCATCGTAGACCTTCATTGAACTATAGCTATACCGCTCTAACCCGGCAGAACTCAGAGGATGGAGGGTTTCAGTAAGAAGGCCAATGAGAGGGAAGGCCGGAGGGACTGGAAAGACCAAGGAATGATCATCAGGTCATGGAACGTGAATGGTTTGGGAAATATCATAGACAAAGAAGAAAAGTGGAATGACATAATCCAAGGTTTAACAGTTAAAAATAAAACGCCTGCAGACATAATAATGCTATAAGAAACTCATCTCTCATTTTCAACAGAACACAATAAAATCAGAAAATTTGTGGCAAGGAAATTGGGAGGGATCAGAGATGAAATATGGGCGGCAGACAATGCATCAAGCACCAAAGGCACAACTATCTTAATCCCCAACTCCTCACGTATATACAAGGCAGGAAGTGTGACAATGAAGGAAGCAGACCCCCAGGAGGGCATATGGTGCTCTATG